ATAGATAGATAGATACACACACACACACACACACACACATACATATATACTAGAGGCCTGGTGCACAAGATTTGTGCATAGGTAGGGTCCCTAGGTCTGACTGGAGATCAGAGCCAATCCTTGGGGCGACCAGCGGGATGGTCAGGGGGCCCCGCTGGCACCTGCCTTGGCTAGCCTGAGGCATGGGGCTGGGGACAGGTCCTGCGTTGAGCATCTGCCCCATGGTGGTCACTGTGAATCATAGTGACTGGTTGTTCCACTGGTCATTCTGCCGTTCAGTCAATTTGCATATTAGGCTTTTATTATATAAAATATATACATGTATATACGTGTATATATATATATGTGTGTGTATATATATATATGTGTGTGTGTGTGTGTCTGTGTGTGTATAAATTGATATTAGAGAGGAAGGAAGGGAGAGACAGAAATATTAATGATGAGAGAGAAGAATTGATCAGCTGCCTCCTGCATGACCTCTACTGTAGATAGAGCCCGAAAAGACTTGTGCTTTTGACAGGAATCGAACCTGAGACCCTTCAGTTCTCAGGCCAACACTCTATCCACTGAGCCAAACCAGCTAGGGTCTGAGGCCTATTTTAAAATAAGAAGAGTAAATATTAGTTCAGTGCTTATTTCATGGGATTTTTTATGGTTCTAGTCTCTGTACTTGCCAAATAAGGATTGCTGAGCAGCATTTAAGAAATGCAGTGTTTCAGGCCTATCTTCTATATATATAAAAACCTAAGTGGACAACCAACCAAATGACCAATTGCTATGACGTGCACTGACCACCAGGGGGCAGATGTTCAACTCAGGAGCTACCCCCTGGTGGTCAGTGCGCTCCCATAGCAGGAGTGCTGCTCAGCTAACCGACCTGTCCAGGCAGCCCACCAGCCCAGCGGCAGACACTCACTCCCTCAGTAGTCCTGCAGGTCCAATCTCTGGAGAACGGGCCAGGCATTGATGGATCAGTGCCACCAGCACAATCCCAACAGCGCCATCGGCCTCGGGCACCACGGCCACTTCCCCTCCCTAGGCGCTCCACAAGGAAGAAACGATATAAAAGCAGCCACCAGGTGGCTCCCAACAACCAGCACAAAGGTCAGCAGGACAGATCTGGATCCTGGGCCTGCAAGGGCATCCCACCACCCACCTGGAGGGCCAATCGCATTCCAGACCTTCCTCCTTCCATCTCCCCTCCCACTCACCCCCTTGGGATGGCTGCCAGACACAGGGCTCAAGGCTGATGAGCGCTGCTGCCATGGCATGAGCCGCTCCCAATCAGAACTGACTGGGCAGGGGCCCGCAGCAGGAGAAGCAGGGCCAGGATAAGCAGGTGGCGGTGGAATGCCAATTTTGGCCCAATCCCTGCAGGCCATGCTGAGGGACCCCACCCATGCATGAATTCGTGCACCGGGCCTCTAGTTGTGAGTACAAATCTTCATTTTAACAAGATTCCCAAGTGACTTGTATATTCACTAAAAACTGAAAAATACTGCTATAGTGAGGAGTCATTTGATTCTGTTACTCCAAGTGAAATTTTTATAACTAGGAACATATTTTTCAACAGAAACTGTGTAAGGAATAGTAATTAGGGTTTCAGCTTATGCCATAAAGGCCTAAATCAGAGGTTCTCAACCTGTGGGTTGTGACCCCTTTGGGGGTCGAATGACCCTTTCACAGGAGTCGCCTAAGACCGTCGGAAAACACATATATAATTACATATTGTTTTTGTGATTAATCACTATGCTTTAATTATGTTCAATTTGTAACAATGAAATTGGAGGTCACCACAACATGAGGAACTGTATTAAAGGGTCACGGCATTAGGAAGGTTGAGAACCACTGCCCTAAATGATTCATAATTAGAAATACTCTGTGGGAGCTAATGCTTAAGTTCCCAAATGAGGCAGTAACTGCTGAAATGTAAACCAAAAAAACCGACATATTTTGCTTAGGAAAGGGAAGAAGGAAGATTAATCTGTCACATTGCTAAGTGTTAGATTAGACAAGGTGTAACTCCAGGCCTGTGACTAGGGAGTCCTGATCCTATCATATCTGGAGCACTAGATTTTAGAGCAGAGGTTCTCAACCTGTGGGTCTCGACCCCTTTGGTGGTTGAATGACCCTTTCACAGGGGTCACCTAAGACCATCCTGCATATCAGATATTTACATTACGATTCATAACAGTAGCAACATTACAGTTATGAAGTAGCAACGAAAATAATTTTATGGTTGGGTCACAACATGAGGAACTGTATTTAAAGGACCAGAAGGTTGAGAACCACTGTTTTAGAGAATAACAGCTGTGTTGGTAGGAGAGATCTAGGACACTTGTAGCAAATTCTCTCTTAACATACAGGCAGCCTTGATTCAGGAAAAGAACCGATTATTTTCCTAAATTACACAATTTCTAAGATACATTGTCAAGTAAAAAAACCACAGTGCATAGTAGTATGTATAATATGTTAATGTAAAATATTTGGTTATTTTGCACATGAAAAAATGTACACACTGGAGGAAATGTCTAGAAATGAAATTATTGTTATGTTGCTAGATTTTATATAATTGTTCTCCATAAATATTGTGCCAATTTACACTGCCACCAATGATATATAAAAATGCTACATTACATAGCCAACTATTTTATCTTTGCCAAGGTGAGTTAAAAAATGGTATTCAATGTTGTTTTAATGTGTATCCCTCTAAATGGAGAGATTGAGTATCTTTAAATCTATTTAAAAGCCATGTATATGAAGTATCCATATTCTTTACCACTTTTTCTACCAGGGTATTTCTTTTCCTTTCTTATTTATAGGAATTATTAATATATTAGGAAGAAGTCAGCCCTTTATGATATGCGTAGCAAACCTTTTTGGAAAACACAGGCCTAGAGATAGATATTTAATTTGCTGCTGACCCAATATTTTCTTAGTGCAGTGATTACCAAGGGGATAGGATTGGGTATGTGTCTTTTGAAAAGCATGTTCAATATTGTAGTTTCATATTTGGAAAGCACACAGAAAAAGTTTTATAACATAAAATGTTAAGAAAGTAAAGCTTGCTGAAATACTCTTTGCTGGTGTGACAAGGTTAAAACCAATTGAAAATGTATCTAAGAATGTAGTTAGATTAAAAAATTTATATACAGTACTATTGTGAGAAACCACAAAGCTGTTTTAAAAAGAATGTCCTGGTATTATTCCTATTCTTTCCACTAGGTTACCACCAAAGAACATGATTTTGGTCTAGGGGCTCCAGTTTCCGAAGCTGGAAAATACCAGAATACTCTCCAGCTAGAACAACAAGTGAGAACTCAAGATAAATTCATCTCTACACTGAAATTACAGGTTACATTTAATTTACATATGTATTTATTTCCCTGAATTAATTTTGGCTGGGGCCTATTTTAAAATAAGAAGGCGGAGAACATTAATTCAGTGCTGGCTTATGGTTTTATTTTCTGGGTCTAAAATCATTTCATTTTTATCTTAACCGTTTTGATACACAGAGTCTGAGTCAGTGAGTGCCAGCTGTGTGCCAGGTGTTCTATGAGGTGCTTTCAAGTACATAATCTTACTTCTTCCCAACCTTGTGAAACTTCTATTTTATAGACATGGAAGCTGAAGTTCCAAGAGGTTAAAGAATTATGATACTGGACTAATGAATGACAGAGCTAGGATTTATTGAAATTCTCAAGTTAGTTAGGATTTGAATGCAGTTCTCTGAACTCCAAGTTGAACACTGTTTCTCTTCTCCTGGTGCCTAATCTGTGGGGTAGCTATTAATTAAGGTCATTGAAAGAAATTGCCTCTTATAGGAAAGAGTAGACTTACTTTTCCATAATCCTCTTACTAAGTACAGCAAAAACCCTGAACATTATGTATGAAACAGGCATAGAACACTGAAAGGCGGGAAGAAGAAGGAAGACTGACTAGGGACCCCAACACACCAAGAATGACACGTTAGTGAGTTCCTAGTTTTTTGGGGTTTTTTTGCTCCATATATTCCAGAATGCTCAGAAACAATAATGGATGCAGACAAAAAACAGTCTCAGAAAAGCGGTCTCTAGCCAAAGGACTAGGAAAGGGACAGCCTAGCAAAGAAGACTACTTTTAGACAGTAACTGCCTGCTCTAAGCAACACAGTGGAAAACCTATAGCCCCATTTCTGCCCAGAAAGACTAAGAGCCTAGCCGGTTATCCTTGCCAGGCTGTAACAAGAAGCCCCAGCTGCACCTCACACCCTCCTCTCCCCTCACCAACTTCTCCATCCCCACAAGGTGGTGTCAAAGAAGAAGGCTGAGTTGGGGACCAAGACTTTTGTGCCCACAAGGCGATAAGGGACGTTCCCAACCCCATTGTGTGTGTGTGAAGCACATGGGGAGCCTACAAGCAGCTACCCCCACCGGGTGGTGTGAAGTGCCTCCTTTCCTCCTTGCTGGAGTGGTGTCCGAGGAGAACATGCAGAGTTAGGGCTTTACCAGGACCCAGCACGAACAAGTCCACCCACCCACGGTGGCAGTGGTGGACATGTGAGAGCAGTAGCGAGGCACCTCTGCTCTTCCTGCTCTTGTGGTATCAGCAGAGGCCCAGTGAGGAGCCTGAACTTCCATCCCTGCCCAGCAGGAACAAGGAGCTTCACCTTCTCCAGGTGTCCATGGAAGCCTCGGGTAAAAACTGCCCCCCCCCCCCCACCACCACTGAAGCAGGAACAAAGCAGTGTCCCTCCTTTCTAGCTGGAGCAGTGTCACAGGAAGCCCACTAAAACACAGGATCCAGAGTCTTAGAATACCAAGTTTCAATTAAAAGAAAAAATCACTCCTCATCCTAAACATCAGAAAGATCTCAATTTCAATGAGAAAAGACAAGATGTGACAACACAGTGATGAGTTAGATATTACAATGATCTGACAAGGATTTTAAATCAGGCAAGAATTTTATGAGTGTTTCAGCAAGCGATTTTGATTATTTCTAAGGCACACAAAAGAAAATGGACATAAAGAAGAATGAAATGGAAATTTTGGAAATTACCAAGTTGTTCTTCAGTAAGTGAATGGATAAGTAAACTGTCGTGCATCCATAGAATGGAATTATAAAAATAAGTTGCCCTAACCGATTTGGCTCAGTAGATAGAACATCGGCCTGCAGACTGAAAAGTCCCAGGTTTGATTCTGGTCAAGGGCATGTACCTTGGTTGCGGGCACATCCCCTGTAGGAGGTGTGCAGGAGGCAGCTGATCGATGTTTCTCTCTCATCGATGTTTCTAACTCTCTATCCCTCTCCTTTCCTCTCTGTAAAAAATCAATAAAATACATTTTTAAAAAAATTAAATAAATAAATAAAAAGAGATGAGTTGTTAAGCCACAATAAAACATAAAGGAACATTGAAAGTATATAACTAGGAGAGAAAGTCAATCTGAAAAGGTTACATACTCTGACTCCAACTATATGACCTTCTGGAAAAAACGAAACAGAGATGTTAGAAAGAGCACCCGCTGCTAGTGATTTGGGAGGAGGGAGTGATGAATGGAGCACAGGTGATTTCTAGGTCAGTGAAACTATTTTGTATGATACAATAATGATGGATACATGTCAGTATACATTTGTCAGAACCCAAAGAATGAACATTAATCTAAGCTGTGGACTTTAGTTAATGATAATGTTTTGATGTTGGCTTATCAGTTGTATCAAGATGTAAATAAGAGGGCAGAGTGGCCCTAACCGGTTTGGCTCAGTGGATAGAGCGTTGGCCTGTGGACTGAAAGGTCCCAGGTTCGATTCCGGTCAAGGGCATGTACCTTGGTTGCGGGCACATCCCCAGTAGGGGGTGTGCAGGAGGCAACTGATCGATGTTTCTCTCTCATTGATGTTTCTAACTCTCTATCCCTCTCCCTTCCTCTCTATAAAAAATCAATAAAATATATTTTTTAAAAAAAGGGGAGAGTAAGTGTGCATGTTTGAGGTGGGGAGACAAAAGGTATGTGGGAAATCTCTGTAATTCCCTGTCAGTTTTTCTATAAACCTAAAACTGCACTAATTTTGTGAGTACAAGTCTTCTACCTCCTTGGTTAAGTTTATTCCTAAGTATCTTATTTCTTTTGTTGGAGTAGTAAATGTGTGGGTTTTTTTTTTAATTATTCTTTCTGGTAGTTCATTATTGGTGCGTAAAAATGCTCCTAATTTCTGAAGTTTAATTTTGTATCCAGCTACTTTGGGAAGTTATTTATTGTAGTAGCTTTTCAGTGGAATTATTTCTGTGTACATCTCATGTGCAAATAATGATAGTTTTACTTCCTCCTTTCCAATTTGGTTGCCTTCTATTTCTTTTTCTTATCTGATTGCTATGGCTAGGACTTCCAGTTATACATTGAATAATGTGGTGAAAGTTGAAATCACTGCCTTGTTCCTGATCTTAAGGGATACACTTTTAGTTTTTGCCCATTTAGTGTGATGTTGGCTGTAGGTTTGTCATATGTAGCCTTATTATGTTGAGGTATGATTCCTCTATTCCCATTTTGCTGAGGGTTTTTATCATAAACTAGTGGCCCAGTGCACAGATTCGTGCACATTGAAAGGAAATTAATTAGAAGAAATATTTTAATATTGCTATTTGCCCTTTCTCTATAATAGAAGTGTCAGAGATGAAAGAAAATTAGTAAAATGTATATAAAAATAATATATAAATTAATAAACAATAACAACATGCTATAACAACACAAAGACATGATATAAAAATAATAAACATGATATAAAAATAACATTGATAAAAACAATGACTGATAAATTGATTAAACTTATTCTAATACCTCCCTGTATACCACATCAAGAGTAAAAACACTTTCAGAGTACTTGACTAATTTCCCTTGTGATGAAGTATTTACAACTGTTCCAGTTCTTCGAACTCGAGATAAAGCAACGTATAACTGACCATGTCCAAAAACTGGTTCAGGTAGGAATATTCCTACCCTGTTTAGATTGGTGTCAGCAAGAGCTTTATATGTATCACGCATGCATGAGTCAACTTAGCCTTCCATAGATATAGAATAAACTTGCTTAATTAGACCTGCTTTCTGATTTAGCTAAACTTTTTCCAGCCCAGTGAAGCACCCCAACTTCTCTTTCAGGTAATTGTCAGCAACACAGCAGTAAATATCAACACAAAGCAGATTATTATTGTAGATTATGCAGGGAGAACAAAGGGTAACATATTTAACTGCAGCAGTGTTTGACTATATTCTGCGCAGTGAGAAAACCTGAAGTCATTTTCTTTTTTTTTTAAAATATATTTTATTTTTTTACAGAGAGGAAGGGAGAGGGATAGTTAGAAACCTCGATGAGAGAGAAACATCGATCAGCTGCCTCCTGCACACCCCCTACTGGGGATGTGCCCACAACCAAGGTACATGCCCTTGACCGGAATTGAACCCAGGACCCTTGAGTCCGAAGACCGACGCTCTATCCACTGAGCCAAACCGGTTCTGGCTGAAGTCATTTTCAAGGTTCACCATTTCTTACTTCTTTTCAGTTGGGTCAAGTTTCTAAGCTTTCTAAATCTCTGTTTTCCGGCTAATGAAAAGAAAATAGGATTCCACCAAGTTTCCTCTCTACCTACTCCAAGACTTCTGTGAGGATCAAATGAGATGAGGCACAGGAAAACACTTCACAGACATTTGCTTATAGTGTTAAATGTTTCCACCTGGCTATGAAGCAAGTTGTGTTCCTGGGCTGCAGAAACTCCAACGTGGCTAGTTAATAGGGAGAGGAAACTGGGTGTTGCTACATGATGTCATTACCCAGACAGACACTTAGCATATTAGCCTTTTATATATATAGATGGGTGCTGGATTTTATCAGATGTATTTTCTGCATCTATTCATATGATCATGTGATTTTTATTTTTAATTTTATGTGATGTATCACATTTATTGATTTGCAAATATTGTACCTGTCTGCATCCCTGTAATAAATCTGACTTGGCTATGGTGTATGATCTTTTTAATGTATTGTTGGATCCAGTTTGCGAATATTTTGTTGAGTATTTTAACATCGATGTTCATTGGTGATAGTGGTCTATAATTTTCTTTCTTAGTAGTGTCTTTGTCTGGTTTTGGAATTAGGATAATGCTGGTCTCATCAAAAGAGATTGGAAGACTTCCCTACTCTTGAATTTCTTGGAACAGTTTCAGAAGGATAGGTATTAGTTCTTCTTTGAATGTTTGGTAAAATTCCCTTGTGAAGCCATTTGCTCCAGGACTTTTGTTTGCTGGGAGTTTTTTTGTTTGTTTGTTTTTTATTTCTGCTTCAATTTCATTATTTGTAATCAGTTTATTCAGGTTTTCTTATTCTTC